AGACTCGCCCTCTGATTGACTGGCGGAGCGCTTTCTGTCCCGGGAGCCGGGGATTCCACCGCAGAGAGCGGGTCACTGGTCTCATCAACCCTCATCTGCCACGTTATGCTGTTCTTGCTGCCAAAGGAAGAAACTACCAAATTGCGAATAACTAAAATATCTTATTTTCTTAATCATTTAAGTTTTATTACAATAAGTATGGATGCGTCTGCTGGCCGCCCAGGGCAACTCCATCTGATCCGGGGCTTGCATCCTACCACCCTTTTCTTAGAGGGTCCTGGACTCACCATCACTTCGGCACATAACTAGACACCCCCCCCTAATTTTAGCAAAAATACAGTGTCCAGTTTTATGTCACCTACTGAAAACCATCTGTACCACCTGTGCCACCTGTCAGGCAAAAAAAAGACAGTTTGGTTGCCAGAATAAAGTAATTTACTGTCATAGACAAAGGAACTCTATTTGGGGGTGCATTTCATGCTATTTGATAGGTCCTATGATCATGACTAAGCCTGTAATTACCAATGCAGCTATATACATCATTGTCAAATTTTGCACCTCTGTGAGAAATGTCATCCTCTGAGACCTAAAAAGCAAAGTTGGGGGTTTTTTTATTTAAAAAAGAACAGCGTTTATAATCAATTACACAATAAAAATGTTACTACCTGATGGTACTTGTTGCTTCGGTGAACAGCAGTGAAAATTTGTAAGCAGCATTAAAAGCTAATCTCTGACACCTGTTTTAAACTAGGGCTACGACACATTAAACTTCTCATTTCCTATTTATCCTTTTAAGACATTTCCTCCTCCTTCTCCACACTCCTCTCCCACCCCTCTCGGATGCCCCAGCACCCTCGGCCCGGGGGGGTGGGGAGGGCTCCCCAAATCACCCCGGCAGGGGCAGGAACCCCGGGAAGGTAGCGCGGAGCGGGGCAGGGAGGGAGGCCCCGCCGGCCCGGCCGGCAGCGGGCGGGGGACGGGTTAAACCGCCCCAGCAGCTCGACGACGGGCCCAGCCCGCGGAGGG